CAAATCGGCAGCTGCCTGAGGCCTCCTATTTGTTAAATATTGGAGAAAGACAAGGCTCAAAAAAAGAAACATTAGAGGCAAACTCAGCGCCTCGTTGTGGAACTACTTGTTCTCCATAGAAATTATTTCAACTACTGTGTGATATTTTCACGTACTGTTTGTGGCTGCTCTATTATCAAATGGATAGGGATACACCCTGATATGATAACTATCATGAGAGCAATTTTTTTTGGATAATTGTGCTGTTCGGGTTTTCTTTTGCTGGTCTCACCCATCGGTCTTCGCTTCATATCGATCCGTTAGGGGCCTCGCACCTGTACCCTCACGCCTTCAGTATGTGATAGCGAAATGTGGGCAACTGCTCGTGTGGTTACAACTATGGGATGCTAAACCTTGCGGGCGTCGTGCCGGGTCTATTTTCTCGGTTAGTTTTCCAGCCAAAAATGCCTGGGGGGCCATGTGGAGAATAGGGAGCTTATGTAATACCACATTAAACAGCAATATGTCCTCCCCGTTCTAATTGATCACTCAAAATCTCCAACAACATATCTGCTATAACGGTATGTATATTGGTTAAATATGTATAACATTGAGAACGTTGTGGATTTCACGATAAACACCTAGCCGCGAGTGATGGCCGGGTGTAGCAATTCATGTCTCCTGTGCTCAGGGTGTGCGCAGGCTTCCCGGTCTCAGGTCAGGCCCCCATAGCGGCTATCGCAGTGAAATTTAGTTAGAATCAGTGGTATAAAATGTTGGCCATCCATTCGAAGTGACATGGATTAAAAATATTTCCCCGGTGATACTAATTTCCTGTAAGCTTCCAAGTAATTCCTAAAGCTTTCGGCGCTGGCAGTTGCCGCGGCCAGTGGGTGCGACATCCCCCCCCCTCTTCTTGTGGTTTTCCGAGATGGATGAACACCAGAACACTATTTGCGTTTATTTTATCCTTCAACAAGATTACGAAGGTTTGGAAGATTCCATTCATCACGCAGTAGATACCGGCCACCTCTTCGTGGTGCCGCGGACTAGTAGCCAATTGGCGAAGCTAAGTGCCTGCACGCCTTCCTGTTACCGGCGGAGGCATGTAGGCTTGGCCACTGGTACTGGTAGGGCATTCGACAGGGCCGCCCCCGAGGCTGTCCAATCGGATGAAACACTCCGACTGAACACTGTTAGTACTTACACGACTTGGATAACTTTTCCGGAAAAAGGCTTTTATTTTTACTTGTTTTGTGCGTTTCTCTCTCTATTAGGAGTGAGGTTGCATAGTCATTACACTATGGTTTTGCTAGTGTAATCTGGGGAATTCACATGCACATAGGCAGTGCATCACATAACTGGCATTTCACGGCAAAAGATTATAAAGAGTCTGTTTCGCATACAAAAATTTGGAGGAGTCAAGAACTTAATCTTCTGGGTTATCAGTTACTAGCAGTTTTACTTCTTGTCTCTCTCCCTTTTTCTCTTTTCCTTTTACTTTGGAGGGAGTCAAAAAATCAACTTTGGATAGGGGCCCGGCATAATTTATTCACTCCCGCTCTCTTTTCTCTCTTTTATAGTTCTTATTATCTTATTTTTAGTTATAAATATATTTTCTTTTTTTAGCCTTTTTCCGGTGAAACTATTCAAGGTATATGCCGGATAAGAATGAGAAAAAAAATTCCATTCCCCCCTAGTTCTGTTGTGATTTTCATAGGAATACTTCCATCTATTGGTAATTCTAAATAAATATTACTCCCTAATCAATACCAAATGCTTTCAATTACCTCGGCCCGCCTTGGCATTTCGCCAAACAAAGAGCCCCACTTCTCCATCAACAAGGCAATTGATTAAGATACAAATTGTTAATACTTTCTGCATG